ACGCTGGCAGGAGTGGAGGGATTTGAATTTTTTAGCAATTTATAGTTCTGTTTCTTTTAAATTCAGAACTTCAAAGCGACATCCTTATTTATGGGGCCCGAGCTCGAAATCGCGCAATCCACGGCGATGTGGTGGCTGTTGAGGTTCTGCCTTTGCAAGAATGGAAAGGAAGGACCGTCGCCCTCTGTGAAAATGAGACAGAGGATAAAGCACCCGCAGACACCACTGGCGACCCTATGCCCACGGGTAAAGTCGATATGCTGGCCAGCATTTTGTTAAGATTCCCTCACTTCCTTGGTCCAAGCTGTGTTGTACTCTTCCTTATGTAGTCCCTTCCCTAGATTTCTGTGATTGTCTGCACCGTAGTAAGTTCCAAGCGCTTATCCCAAATTAAAGCATTCTAACGTATCCCAGCAGGAAGGCCGTTAGATTTTTTCTATATGTGAAACACTTTTCTTTTTTTCTCTTTAATTTCTTTCGCAGAAATAGCTGAAATAGAATCATAGAACCATAGAATGGTTTGGGTTGGAAGGGACCTCAAAGATCATCCAGTTCCAACCCCCCTGCCATGGGCAGGGACACCCTCCACTACACCAGGTTGCCCAAAGCCTCATCCAACCTGGCCTTGAACACTTCCAGGGATGGGGCAGCTACAACTTCTCTGGGCAACCAGAGAAATATGGTAGTTATCTTCCTAAAACACTAATTTTGGAATACTTTAGTACCCAAATGCCTGCTGTTCCTCTTCACAAGAGGATGAACTAACTTTCCAATACAGACCAGTGTACCAGAGTGTGCACTCAAGTCTTCCACTATCACTGTTGATTATGCAGAAAGATAACAGCATCTTTTTAATTCCTTGATGACAAATAATGTTCAAGAGGAAAAATTTTTTTGTTAAGTGAAGAAGTATTTAGCTCCCATTACAGTGTGACATGCCTGTGTACCATGGGAACTTAGACTGTTACTTGAAAATATTACTCTGCAGGTGTAGCTACATCTTAAAAGTTTGCTGAGATCAGAATTAAAACTTTTTGGAGGTTAATTCTCTTCCTGCAAGAAAATGCTGTTTGATTTTGATCTTAAAATAAAAATATTTAAAATTTTTCCATTTTTTTTACTAGAATTGGCCACATTTCAGTAGCAGTGGGAATCTCTGAATGATTTCTGTACTGTGTCAGTTGAAATCTATACAATGAAGTTAGTCTCCACATAAATAACAGCTCATGTAAATCTGTCTGCGCTGATGATAATTTATAACAAACTTGTATCGTTGTCTGCATGCCATATGGTGTTAGCAATTTTAATACAGATTTCTGGACACATTAGTTCGTGTTACAAAGCAGTGAATCTTCTGTACCTCCCACATACTTGCTGTCATGGTCCTGTTTAACTCTTTAATGTACAGCCAACACTGTTCCTTATTAAAAGGTAAAGTTGTTGGAATCATTCAGAAGAACTGGAGGGATTATGTGGTCACTTTCCCCTCGAAAGAAGAGAACCAGTCCCAGGGCAGAAACACTCAGAAAGTCCTTGTTACACCTTGGGACTTCCGAATTCCCAAAATCCGGATCAGTACCCAGCAAGCTGAAGCATTACAGGTAATTTGCCAGCAGTGTTTCTCTGTTCTGTGTTCCTACAAAATTGTGCGGGTGTTGGGTGCTCCGATGATGTTTTCCTTGGCGAAAAGATGGGTAAAACTATTTAATAAAGTCAAGTGTGTGGGAGTAGTTTGAGTTCTGCCTCGAAGGAGTATGTTCAGTTCCTGTCAGAACTGTGTCACCTTCAGGTACTAAAGCTTATTTGAGTTCTGAACTTGGGCCACAGCCCAGGTACCCTGGGCATTCATACACTGCTGGCTTTGTTTTTTTCTGGTAAATTACGGTTCATATTAGGGGTACAAATTGTAATAGCCCTTGTGGCTTTATTGGATCGACAACGATTTATAACTTTGATGGAAGCAGGAAGGAGAGCTTTTCGACAAATTGATAATGAATTATGATGATTAGCCTGCCATGGCTGTAGAAATAAGAAACGTGGTTTTGTTAGTCCCTGGCTGCTTTTACACTGTAATGGTAAGTACGTCTTCACAGCCAAGAAGTAAATCCCAGTTGTCTTTTCTGGTATAAGAATATTTGTATGCGTCTCGGTTTTGCTTTTATTTTTTACACTTTTAAGATAGAGAATTTCTATATAATGACCCCAAAAGGGTCTTTGATCAGGAAATAAATGTAATTCCCAGTATTTGTTGGGATGCTTCTCCTTGTGGGTTTCTTTTCCCTTTCTATAAAGCTTTTAGAGTTGCCAGTCTCTTTGGATAGCACTGTTTGCCCCTGAAGGAGTGTTTATATTGATTGCTTGTCAGGAGCAGATTGCTGTTCTAACACAATTGTCTTGCTGCAGGAGTATAGAGTTGTTGTGCGCATTGATTCTTGGGAATCAACTTCTCTGTATCCAAATGGGCACTTTGTGAGAGTTCTAGGAAGAATTGGAGATCTGGAGGGGGAAATTGCAGCTATTCTGGTGGAGAACAGCATCTGTGTTGCCCCTTTCTCAGAAATCCAGGTTAGTCTTTTTGATTAGATACATTATTTTCTGTCCATTTCCAGGGACTTATTTCTCAAAGAGGAAGACCGTCTTAGAGCTGGATGTCATAGTTGCCAACAGGTCTTTGAAAGCTGGAAACTATTTGTAGATTATTTTTCTGGAGTTACTTTTGGATCAGTGGTTCTACAGATACTGTGAATTTTCAAGTGAAGAGTGATTTTAAGGTAATCTTTTTTTGCTATGAGGAGAAGATTACGAACTCTGAATTGTAATCTGAGGTAGACTTTTTAAGATATTGTTGTCTTTAATATGTGTTTATGGTACTGATCCTAAAGGCCTGGTCCTACCGAAATCATTGTCTTAAATCCTTTTGTCTTGAACCAGGAGAGGAACCAGCTCTGACAGATCACTGTTTTGATGATACTGACAATTAACTGAAAGAAAAAGAATGTAAAAAACCAATATGCAGCCGTTATGATTGTCAGAGGTGCAATATCACCACAATAACATCAGTTGTTAATAATGTGTGTAGCATTTTTTTCAGTTCTGTTTCATACTTTCCGTAAAGTAACTGTAATAGACTTAGAAAGTGCAAGGAAAGAAGAATTTCTCCAGGATGAACAAGTACACAAAACCAACTAATGGTGTAGAAAAGGAGAAGCTAATTATATCTAATCTGTTGGCTTCTTTTTGTAGAAAAGATACAAATGTCTGTTGATCAATAATTTTTTTGTACAGATGAGTGAAATGCCCGTAAGTTCTTCAAAGAATCCATGGAAAGTGAATCCAGAGGAGGAAGAAAAACGTCTGGACTTGAGAGATACGCACTTGATATTCAGCATTGACCCAAAAGGCTGCGAGGATGTGGATGACGCGCTCTCCGTTCGGACTCTGCCGAATGGGAACCTAGAGTTGGGTGTCCACATTGCAGATGTAACTCATTTTGTCGCAGCAAATTCTTACACTGATGTGGAGGCCAGAGCAAGGTAAATTATTTTCTAAAAATCAGAAAATTTATGGAGCTAAGCAGTGTGTGATACTGCT